ATTCACGTAAAAGGAAACAGTATTAGTCTCCTACCGCATGAAGGGGGGGAAACCCTGCCCCCACCAAATGCTTTTCAGGATGACACCTATTTAAGTTACTCCATACTGAGCGGCTACATTTTCTTTGCAAAATTTGTATTTTATTACTCCCCCACCCCCCAGTGCTCATTTGCCACCACCTCTTCTATTTATTTTTTTATAAGATATTTATTAAAATTTCAGAAATAAAAAAAGAAGTTACACTAGTAATAATAAGAAAAGGGAAAAAAAGATAAAAGAATAAAAAAGGAAAAAAGAAAATACAAAATACAAAGAAAAAATACAAACAATTAAAAACAAATCAATCTTTCCATATCTTGTCTTTCATTCACTTGTTTCCCTGACCTCCTCACACCTTCTTTTTTTGTATTCCAGTTCAGTAAGTTAATTCAGCAAATCCGTTCCCTCTTTGTTTTTATCTTAAACCTTTGTCTTAATATATAGTAACTGTATATTGTCATCTGTTAACAGTCCATTTTTACATACTCCTTATAACATTGCTGCTAAAAACCCCTTAGCTTCGTTCCAACGTCATTCTAACATTCATTAATTTTACAGTATTTCTGTAGATAGTCTTTAAATTTCTTCCAGTCTTCTTCCACCGACTCTTCTCCCTGGTCTCGGATTCTGCCAGTCATTTCCGCCAGTTCCATATAGTCCATCACCTTCATCTGCCATTCTTCCAGGGTGGGTAGATCTTGTGTCTTCCAGTACTTTGCAATAAGAATTCTTGCTGCTGTTGTGGCATACATAAAGAAAATTCTATCCTTCTTTGGCACCAATTGGCCGACAATGCCCAGGAGAAAGGCCTCTGGTTTCTTCAGGAAGGTATACAGTGGTGCCTCGCAAGACGAAAAGAATCCGTTCCGCAAGTCTCTTCGTCTTGCGGTTTTTTCGTCTTGCGAAGCAAGCCCATTAGCGGTTTAGCGGATTAGCGCTATTAGCGGCTTAGCGGATCAGCTGTTAAGCGGCTTAGCGGATCAGCTGATAAGCGGCTTAGTGGCTTAACGGATCAGCTGTTAAGCGGCTTAGCGGATCAGCTGATAAGCGGCTTAGTGGCTTAACGGATCAGCTGTTGAGCAGCTTAGCCGATCAGCTGATAAGCGGCTTAGTGGCTTAACGGATCAGCTGTTAAGCGGCTTAGCGGATCAGCTGATAAGCGGCTTAGCGATCAGCTGTTAAGCGGCTTAGCGGATCAGCTGTTAAGCGGCTTAGCGGATCAGCTGATAAGCGGCTTAGCGGCTTGGGGAAAAGGGGGGGGAGGAAAAAAAACCTGCAGGAACTCGCAAGACATTTTCATCTTGCGAAGCAAGCCCATAGGAAATTCGTTTTGCGAAGCACCTCCAAAACGGAAAACCCTTTCGTCTAGCGGGTTTTCCGTCTTGCGAGGCATTCGTCTTGCGGGGCACCACTGTATTTAAATACCTTTTTCATTTCATTATAGATCATCTCCCAGAAAGCCTTAATCCTTGGGCACGTCCACCAAAGGTGAAAAAATGTACCTTCAGTTTCTTTGCCTTTCCAACATTTATTATCGGGCAAATGGTAAATTTTTGCAAGCTTGACTGGGGTCATGTACCACCTGTATATCATTTTCATAATATTCTCTCTTAAGGCATTACATGCCGTGAACTTCATACCTGTGGTCCATAACTGTTCCCAGTCAGCCATCATAATGTTATGTCCAACATCTTGTGCCCATTTAATCATAACAGATTTCACTGTTTCATCTTGAGTATTCCATTTCAACAGCAAGTTATACATTCTTGACAAATTCTTAATTTTAGGTTCTAACAGTTCTGTTTCCAGTTTTGATTTTTCCACCTGGATGCCAATTTTCTTGTCCAAATTGTATGCCTCCATTATTTGATAATAGTGAAGCCAATCTCGCACTTTGTTTTTTAATTTTTCAAAGCTCTGCAATTTCAATTTATCTCCCTCTTGTTCCAGAATTTCCCAATATTTCGGCCATTTGGCCTCCATATTGAGCTTTTTCTGGGCCTTCGCTTCCATCGGTGACAGCCACCTTGGAATTTTATTTTCAAGTAGATCCTTATATCTTGACCAGACATTGAACAATGCTTTCCCGACAATATGGTTTTTAAATGCTTTATGTGCTTTGACCTTATCATACCACAAATATGCATGCCACCCAAATACATTGTTAAAACCTTCTAAATCCAAAATGTCTGTGTTTTCAAGAAGCAGCCATTCTCGCAGCCAACAAAATGCGGCTGATTCATAGTAAAGTTTAAGGTCTGGCAGGGCAAATCCACCTCTTTCTTTTGCATCTGTTAGTATTTTGAATTTTATTCTGGGCTTCTTGCCCTGCCAGACAAATCTGGAAATATCTCTCTGCCACTTCTTGAAACAGTCCATTTCTATTATTATTATTATTATTATTATTATTATTATATTTATATTTATTTATACCCCGCCCTCCCTGGCAAAAGCTGGGCTCAGGGCGGCTAACACCAGTAAAATTACAATAAAAACATAATGGGGAGGGACCAATTTAAAATACAAGTTAAAATGCAATTTAAAAAGCAGCCTCATTTTAATAATAGCCCATAGATCAAAACCATAAGGGGAGGGAAACAGAAGGGTCAGACTGAGTCCAAACCAAAGGCCAGGCGGAACAGCTCTGTCTTGCAGGCCCTGCAGAAAGATATCAAGTCCCTCAGGGCCCTAGTCTCTTGTGACAGAGCGTTCCACCAAGTCGGGGCCAGTACTGAAAAGGCCCTGGCCCTAGCTGAGACCAATCTAACCACCTTGCGACTTGGGACCTCCAAAACGGTGTCATTTGTGGACCTTAAGGTCCTCCGTGGGGCATACCAGGAGAGGCGGTCCCGTAGGTACGTGGGTCACCACCACCATTCTTAAAACCGATAAGGCACCAGGGTAAATTTAAGAGGGATTCGTAAGTTTAAGTCTCCGTGCCATAGAAAGCAGCCTTCCGCAAGCTGATGCACTCGAGGTGCTTTGAACCGCAACTCCCAAACCAGCACTGCTCTGCTCATCGAGACTGATGGGGTTCAATCAATCACCTTTTCGGCATAGAGAGAATACAAAAATATGTGGGTCAAAGTATAAAACTGGCATCTGTTCAAAAAACCCCGAGATACCGTATTTTTCGCACTATAGGACACACCGGCCCATAGGACGCACCTAGTTTTCGGGGGGGGGAATCAAGGGAAAAAATATGATTCCCCCCCCCCCGCAGCTCTGGGAGCAGCGGACAGGCTGCACGCAGTCTGTGCGCTACTCCAAGACCTTCTCCCTGCTTTTGCGGGAGGTGGCGGAATTCCCCCACCTCCCGCAAAAGCCCACAGGAGCCGCGCGCGACTCCTGCGGGCTTTTCGACCAGGAGGGAGTAGGGACTGAAATGGCCAGTCAGTCCCTTGTCCCTCCTCGGGGGAAAGCCCCCAAGAGTGGCGCACTCTATAAAGGGTGCGCGGCATCCTGCAGGCTTTTCTACGAGGTGGGGGAATTCGCCTACCTCGTAGAAAAGCCAGCAGAAGTCGCGCAGCCTTTAAAGAGCACACGGCTTCTGTGTGCTTTTGCGGGAGGTGGGGGAATTCCCCCATCTCCCGCAAAAGCCCACAAGAGGGAGAAGGGACTGACTCCGCCAGTCAGTCCCTTCTCCCTCCTTGGGGAAAAGCCTCCAAGAGCGGTGCGCTCATTAAAGAGCGTGCGGCTCCTGCGGGCTTTTTGACCCAGATTGTGCCCCCATCCTCTGGGGCTGGTGATGGGGGAAGCGCTGCTTTCCCCCACCGCCAGCCTCAAAGCCTGGTTGGAGAGTAGCGGGAAGGCGTCACGCGCCTTCCTGCTGCCCCCCATTCTCTGGGGCTGGCGATGGGGGAAGCGTTGCTTTCCCCCACCGCCATCCTCAAAGAGCAGACTCTCCTGGCTTCAGCGGAAGCAACGCGAAGCCTCCGGAGTGCAGGCTTCGGAGGCTTCACGTTGCTATCGCTGAAGCCAAGGAGCCTGCATTCGCCCCATAAGACGCACACACATTTCCCCTTCATTTTTGGAGGGGAAAAAGTGCATCCTATAGGGCGAAAAATACGGTACATTAAGACAGAACTATAAGTTTAAAAATGCCTCTCAAGCCTTATAGTGATGTAGTTTCACGGCATCACTCAGCAATTTTGCTACGTTCTCCATGATATCATGCCTACAGCTACAGTGGTACCTCGGGTTAAGTACTTAATTCGTTCCGGAGGTCCGTTCTTAACCTGAAACTGTTCTTAACCTGAAGCACCACTAATGGGGCCTCCTGCTGCCGCTGTGCTGCCGGAGCACAATTTCTGTTCTCATCCTGAAGCAAAGTTCTTAACCTGAAGCACTATTTCTGGGTTAGTGGAGTCTGTAACCTGAAGCGTATGTAACCCAAGGTACCACTGTATTGAATAAGAAGGAAGCCCTGTAGGAGTCATCACAATTCAACCTTTCTTTCAGTATAGGGTTTAAATATCTATCCTGGATTTTTTGCATTAAATGGACAGTACAATAAAACACGTGCAATTGTCACAGTCCGAAACATCTGGAAGGCACTGGGTTGGCAAAGACAGATTTTCATATGCTATGAAATGTGCCTCTCTCCCCATTGACCTTTCCTGCATAATTCTGGCCCACCTTCTCAAAACCACCACTGTTTCAGCGAAGAATCCTATTCAAAACGAGTCTTTAATCCACTTTCTAATCCTGCCCTACTCAAAAGCCTCAGGAGCAAATAAACCCTACCCATGTTAACACGTAATATTCTTAATGTTCATACCCCTTAGGCACTAAAAAGAGATCAAAGTTTTAAAACAGAATCTCACAATTGCTCAGGCTTGGATTTTGGGAGCATCCAGCCTCTGTAAAACAGGCACCCCTTTCTCCATAGACTTATGGCCAGGCTACAGAATATGCTCTCAAGTCACCTTCTATTACAGAAACACAAGGTATAGAACAGGCATAGGCAAACTCTGGCCCTCCAGATGTTTGGGACTACAATTGGGACTACAAACATCTGGAGGGCAAGAGTTTGCCTATGCCTGGTACAGAATCATAGAATTGTGGAGTTGGAGGGGGTCTCAAGGATCTTCTAGTCCAACCCCCTTCAATGCAAGAATCCTGCCCACAGTCCCTGGGCGGGCTTGAACCTGCAACCTTCTGGTTAACAGCCAGAGACACTGACCCCCTGTGCCACAGGGCAGGCAGTGATGTCTTGGCTTTTAGTCCAAGCAAAACCAAGCCAAATCTTTTAACATGGGCCCCAAGGAGAAGGCGCCAGGGGTCATTCCTGAAGACTATCACGCAAAGCGTGTTCTCCCTAAAATGAGAGCACGGGTCGCAGTGGGGGCAGCCAGCCCAGCCCTCTGTTGCCAGGCAGGTTAATGGTTAGTGCCTGGCACAATGATTGGCTGACCAGGTGGCTGGGGCAAATTGTATGTAGCAAATTGGGTGGGTGGGACCATAGGCTTTACATATTGGGGCTCACTGCTTCTGCTTTCTCTTTCGCAGTGAGCATCGGATCACCCGCCCGCCCGCCCGCCCTGTGTTCTGGTTGACCTTGCTTTGCCTGTCATGGGGTCATCTGCCATTGGGGCAGAGGCCTAGTAGGAATTTTGCCGATTGGCTGGTGCCATTTGGTTTTTGCCTACTACTTAGCAATTCATCACAACTTGTAAGGTTGCGGTTAGGCATTGGTTATAAAAATTGGTGGTGGAGGGGTCAGGATAGGCTGTGCCTGCCCCTCCAATGGTGCTGGAAGGGAATTCCGTTAAAGGAACCCTGGGGCTTGCCACGATTTCGTCCAATCCCTGAAATGGGACCAGGGCCGGCAAGCCTTGGGGAGCTGGTTGAGTGAGCAGTGAGGGACTGTCGCTCAGCTCAACTAATCCCCAACATTGTTTTCCCTTCACTGGCTTCCGAGGGAGTTCGGATAGTCAGTTCTGTCCCAGGCGGGGGGACAGATAGTCATAACCAATGCCTAAGCAACCACTCACAGATTTTGTATTTTAATAAAGTTGTGGCCAAAATAGTGCCAAAAACCTTAAACTAAAATTACGTGTGAATTGTGAATTATTTTTAGGGGTGGCTTGGGGACCTCCACACGCAACAAGAAAGAGAGAGACAGAACTTTTTCGGACAAGAGAAATGCGTGTTATGATGAGATGCTCGTGAGAGCGGTACATGCTTCCTTTTGAACTTTTCCTTTTTGTCCTGAGATCCCTCGTTTCAGGGAGACGATACCCAGTCAATTTTCTGGGGCCAGAACTAACACTACAAACTCAACCCTTCTTGCCCCCCCAGAAACACTCCCCCCCCCCACGTAAGCAAACAACAGCACAGTCTGTCCCCCCCCCCCCGCTGCTTACTCACAGCAGGTGGCACATCCTTCGCTTACAATGTCCCCACCATCTGGAATACCCTCAATGCCTCCGAGTCTAATTGACTCATAGCTCTTTTCAAACCTCACATTAAGGCACACTGCTTCCATTTGCCTTGCAAGCACCAACTCTTAATGCTCCAAGGGGGAAGGGGGGGGGGAGAAGGAAAATTTCCACTCATTTTCCCTTTCATCCTATCCCACTAATAAGACTCACAAACGGCTGTGCATATTTTTCTCATTTGCGCATACGCAGTTTTAAGTACGCCACTTTTACATTTTTGAGCCACATGCTCAATTGCCTGAAACGTTCCTTTTACCATTTTATCTTTTTTTTTTATTTGAAAAAATGTGATAGAGTAGATTTCATGGTGTGTGGTTTTTATAAAGGCGGCGGGGAGTGGGGGAGAGTAATTGTACAAGAAGAGGAAAAGGGCATGGTACACGATACTGAGAATAAGACTTACACAAACCTTTAAAGTTGAAGTCACACTTTTAGTACATTAAAGAAAACTTACTAACTTGATCAATATATTTTTAAAGCAAAAAAGGGACAAGAAATTTGTTCTCTCTCTCTTTTTAGTTAATATTAAGGACTGTCGTTTATTATAACTACTCTCAATGTAATATTTCACTTCCTTTGGGGAAATAATTCAATTTTGCGATTCTGTTTACACCTACAATTGGCAGGGGGGGGCAGTGGGGAGAGATATAAGAGGAATGGAACCTCTTTACCATTTCTCTGACTTGCATGCTTCTTTCTCTGAATAATCAATGGCAATTTATTTCGAGAGAGACCCTTTCTCATATCCCAAGGGTTTCATTTTAAACGTAATTGTAATGGGAAATACGTTGGTTTTTTTCTGGGGGGGTGTTATTCTGCACATATTCCTGCTAAAGTAAGGTTCACTGTAGTTAGATGCATGCTTAATGGGAGTGGGGAAGTGAGAGAACTTTTTAAAATAACTGCTTCTCTATACACAACTTCAACTAACAGATGTGCTACCAGGTGTGAGTTTAGCCATTCAGATTACAACCTTGAACTCGCACAAGAAATATCATCAAGATTAAAAATAAAAGTGGGGAGGTGGGAGAGGAAAAAGTTGACGTTCTTAATATTGAAAAGTGAAAATCATTGTGCATCTAAAAGAAAGAAAGAAAGTACAGTGGTACCTCGGGTTACATACGCTTCAGGTTACAGACTCCGCTAACCCATAAATAGTACCTCGGGTTAAGAACTTTGCTTCAGGATGAGAACAGAAATTGCATGGCGGCAGCAGCGGGAGGCCCCATTAGCTAAAGTGGTACCTCAGGTTAAAAACAGTTTCAGGTTAAGAACGGACCTCTGGAACGAATTAAGTACTTAACCCGAGGTACCACCGTATACACACACACACACATTGCTTTAATATAATACATTTCTACAACATTACCGAGAATTTAGAAACCTAAAAGTGCTAAAGCAGGTTTTATTTGAGCTTCCACTCCAATACTGGGGTGGGTGAGTGGGTGTGCGTGAGAGAGAGGGAGATCACCAGCTAAATGTCTGAAATAAGGATGGAACTATGTTAGGGACGTGGGTGGCACTGTGGGTTAAACCACAGAGCCTAGGGCTTGCCAATCAGAAGGTCGGTGGTTCAAATCCCCACGATGGGGTGAACTCCGCAACCCCAGAGTCGTCCGCGAATGGACCTAATGGTCAGGGGTCCCTTTACCTTTACCTTATGTTAGGATTGCTATGTTAGTATACAGATAATAAAGTCCTCAACCTGCATGAACAAATGTATGGCACATACCCATCAACTGTCTGGGGCATCTGTTGAGGGCGGGCTGTGCTCTCGTGTGGGTCATGTGACTTACGTTACAGCTTGTCCCGGAAGACATGCACCCCCAATTTGAGCTGGGACATGTTGGAGCTATGGTGGTACTAGTCACATAAGAAAAACTACCACAGAGATTTCAACATTTTCAAAAGCAAGGGTTTCCATGGTTTGGCTTTTGGAAAAACGGGGTCTGAAGTACTTGGCTAATTAGGAGCCACTGCTCTAAGCCAAAGCCACCATTCAATTCAGTCTTTAACATTTAAGTTATCAAAAACTGTTGGTTCCATCTTGTACGCGTTTAATATAATTATGTGTATCTTAATAGCTAGAAACTTTTGTTCCCTTTTATAAATCCTAAGCTTCCCAGACCAAAGATAGTTAAAACAAAAATCCCAAATTCAAGCAAGATAGGCTAGCCTATTTATTAAGGATTTGCTTAGGGGGTGAGGTTCAAGCTATCAGCTTTTCAGCAAAATAGCTGTTTCTAAGGACTTATTGCTGCCACCCTTATTGTTACTTTGAATAATGGCCAAAGGCACTTAGGGCAGCAGATGGATGCCATTTGTATGCTGTAAATTGAAGCAGGCAGGGGAAAAATAAAGCCTTAAATATAAATGACACATTTTCAATGAAAGGGACAGGCAGCTGCTGTTAATTGCAACTGGGGGCCTCTACAACTAATGGTCATATTTTCTAGGAACAAAGGGAATATAAGAGAGAACCATCAGCACTCGTGCCAAATACTTTAGTTTACATCTCTTTCATTTACACAGGGCACATCTTCACACTTCTTATTTAGAATAACAACTTAAACTAAGCAATGTTGACTTCTGACTCCCTTACCCCTTTTGGAGTTGGGTGATGGGTTTGACGCTTTACAGTTTTCTGAAATCCATCCATAAACTGACCTGTCGGAAACTCCAGGTTTACTTTGGGGGGGGGCGGAATTATGCCTCCCATCACCGCCGCACCTGGTCAGAATGTCACTACTATCTCAGAACTTAATCTGCATCCCACAAGTTCACTAAAGGCTTCCCTCCCTTGCCAAATTGAAAATCAGCTCACATTTCACTTTTTAAGAGAATGGGAGCATTTCCTTGTCTAAAATTAAGACCAAACTTAGGGTTTACCGTTCAGACATTTGTCCGAATGCAAGAAGAGTGGAGACTGGGAAACGCTGCTCTTTGCACACATTTGGTGCAGAATCATAGAATTGGAAGGGACCCCAAGGGTCATAGACCAACTCCCTGAAATGCAGGAATCTCAGCCAAAGCCGAGTGTAAATGTCTAAATGAACCTATGCACATACAAATTTGTGTGTAGGCTCTGCCCATGTGGCTGGGGACCCTAAGGAATGGAGGCAGAGTGTGCGGTCATGCTCTCCCCGCCCCCTGCTCATTTGGGCAAACATCTGAACACTGCTAAAACATCTGTCTCTCCAAGACCAGCTATCTTCAAGACCAAAGCTCCTAAAATTTCAATGGCGTAGTTTTCTTATTATGATTATTATTAATAATAAATGCATTGATGATGATAATGATAATACAGTGGTACCTTGGTTCTCAAACGCCTTGGTACTCAAACAACTCGGAACCCAAACACTGCAAACCCGGAAATAAGTGTTCCAGTTTGCGAACTTTTTTCAGAAGTCGAACATGCTCCGTTTTGAGTGCCACACTTTCGTTGTGAGTGTTACGCTGGTGATTTGAGTGTTACACTTCCGTTTTGAGTGTTACACTGAGGTCTGCCTGTTTTTGCTTATTTATTTTGCGTTTTTGTTTTTGCAGCTTTTTTGTTTTGTTTTTGTGACTGTGTGGAACCCAGTTCAGTTACTGATTGATTGATTGTGTGACTGCAGTACATTGTTTATTGCTTTCCTTTTATGGTCTTGTTAGATAATAAAATTCATGTTAAATTGCAGTTTTAGGGGTTGTTTTTAAAAGTCTGGAACGGATTAATCGTTTTGCATTACTTTCTATGGGAAAGCGTGCCTTGGTTTTGGAACGCTTTGGTTTCGGAACGGACTTCAGGAACGAATTAAGTTTGAGAACCAAGGTACCACTGTAAATAGAATTGCACATCCCCTTCAATGTTTAACCACCCTAGTTACATGTGGAAAGTTAGGATCTCATCTAAGTGGGGAAGTCTTGGTTTTCAGGGCATTGGTCATATAGGAGGCAAGGGTTGCCAACCAACCAGAAATATAAATGGCCTGGTTGTGGTTTAGATTTGCTTCTAAGCCAGTAGCCAGAAATCAAGGAGCGAGATGGGAGAGGCCTCCCCATCAGCTTTTAAATTGTGCACCTTAGGTGAACAGACTCCCTCTGCATTAAATACTACTAACTTCATCCATTTTTCCAGAGGGCTCCAAGCACTGGGCACAATTTTTTTAAAAATAGAGTTGGCAATCCTGGCATAAGCAGCCTGGTATCTTTTAATGACTGTCTGTGTTTTTTTCTCTTTCTAAATGTACTTGCGAAGCCGCACAGTAGTCTACAATGGAAGTGTCCATGTGTCAATGCTCAAAGACTGCAGATGTGTTTACGTTTACAAGCGCATTGTTTTCTCAGCTTTACTTTTCCTCACTGAGAAAAGGCCCCAACATCATTAAGCTACGGTCGGAATCTGGTAGAACCAATTTGCAAAACCACTTCCCATTACATAAACAAAATGTAGCTCTCAACACAATTCTAATCCTACAGAACCAATTAATTAAAAATATATCTATGCATAGAATCGAGAGCAGAAGCGCATGCCATCTCCTTAAAAAAATTACAGGCCATTAAATACTCCAGACACAAAGAAGCTTCATTAAGAAAATACACATATACAATATGGTGAAATACTGAAGTTAGCAGTTCTCTGGCCAGATGCTCACTTTATGAACATTACTTTATAAACTTGGTCACCAAAGCAAGACTGGCAGTTCACTATGAACATTGAGTAATAAGAGATCTTGCTGGTAACAGGAAATCTAAACAGTGTTCTAGTGAAAGAATTTTAACTATTTCTGATTCATAATCCTGACATACAAGAACAAGAACATTAGGAATTTCACAAAGAAGTGAGCACTGAAAAGTATTTTAGAGAAGGTCTTAGGATAGGAGTGCCAACTGAAATTTAATTTAGGTATCCACTGGGATTGCCATATTGCCAATCCACTGGGATTGCCATATTGCCTGATTTACCAGGTTTTACCTTGATTATGGGACACGGGTGGCGCTGTGGTATAAACCACAGAGCCTAGGGCTTGCCAATCATAAGGTCGGCGGTTCAAATCCCCGTGAGGGGGTGAGCTCCTGTTGTTCGGTCCCAGCTCCTGCCCACCTAGTAGTTCAAAAGCACATCAAAGTGCAAGTAGATAAATAGGTACCACTCCGGTGAGAAGGTAAACGGGTGTTTCCGTGTGCTGCTTTGGCTCGCCAGAAGCAGCTTAGTCATACTGGCCACATGACCCGGAAGCTGTCTGCGTACAAACGCCGGCTCCCACGGCCTATAGAGCAAGATGAGCGCCGCAACCCCAGAGTCGTCCACGACTGGACCTAACTGTCAGGGGTACCTTTACCTTTACCTTGATTCTATCCATGCTACTAGGTGTATCCAATTCCCAATTTTCATTAAAAAGAGAAAAGAAATTCAAGTCCTTCAAGAACTCAAGAGGCAAAATGTGCAAGCATCACTATGTCCCATTCTTTCATGATAAATGTGCCTACTAACATATTTAGTAGGGACACGGGTGGCGTTGTGGGTTAAACTACAGAGCCTAGGACTTGCCGATCAGAAGGTCAGCGGTTCGAATCCCTGCGACGGGGTGAGCTCCCGTTGCTCGGTCCCTGCTCCTGCCAACCTAGCAGTTTGAAAGCACCTCAAAGTGCAAGTAGATAAATAGGTACCGTTCTGGTGGGAAGGTAAACGGCATTTCCGTGCACTGCTCTGGTTCGCCAGAAGCAACTTAGTCATGCTGGCCACATGACCCGGAAGCTGTACGTCAGCTCCCTCGGCCAATAAAGTGAGATGAGCACCGCAACCCCAGAGTCGGTCACGACTGGACCTAATGGTCAGGGGTCCCTTTACCTTTACCTAACATATTTAAGTGTTCTTAGCCAATGAGTGAAGTCACAACTGACATTTGGGGGAGGTGTGTTAAGCTATGGTATAAACTATAGCAGCCACGGGAAACCTCTGGCCTGTTCCTCACCTGCCCCACATCTGATGCCATAAGGGCTTACCCAAACAGAATATTGTTGTCTGCCTTCCAAAAGACAGAAGTGACTTGTAAGTAAGAAGTTTCTCACACTGTGCCATACAGACTACTGGGATACCCATAAATTCCATTCAGGTGATCCACAAAAAGGTTGAAGAACACGAAGGAATATGTGTCCTTTGCTCTGTACTCAATTTATTTTATTTTATTTGCTGATACTGGAGACAGAGAGGCTGCTTTGACCCGAGCCAAATTACCAGAAGCAGCTTGCAAAGCCCTGGGGCCCATTGTTTTCATTACACTACAGAGATGGAGACGTCTTAACTTTTCCCTAAAAATGTGCCAGTTTGGTGTGGCTCTTCTCAGCAGCCTGGGCCTCAAGACCAAATATTTTATTTTCACTAATGTGTTTGTTTTTTTAATTAGCATCACTCTGCTGCACTGTGCTATGTGTGCTTGTTAAGAGTTCCATACAGATTAAGTATGTGCTTTGATTATGGAGGACAAAAATGTTTAAGGGGTATGCTGAAAGCCCCCAACCATTTTCATGGGGTCCGGGAGTTAAGGGTGAAGTTTGCTGCAGGGTATGTCTGGCGAATTCCACACAGCCAGGGAGAATGCAAAAGTATCTGCATCATCGCACTGTTAACATCCACATAGATCTGAGTGGCCCGAGGGAAGGCATAGCTGCACAGTGAATTCCACAACCCCCTACACACTAATCTGGGGGAAAATGCAACTTCCTTTTAGAAAAAGTTAGCAGAATTCTCCATGCCTTCTGGACACTTTCAAACCACCACCCAGTTCCACAGGGATTGATGTGAACACACACCACACAGAGAGGATTATGTATTCAAAATAGGTGGGAGTTCTATAAAAAGATAGCTATGCACACATTTTAAAACCATTCACCCAAGCTTTCTTCCCCATTTTTTAATAGATGGTATATGATCCCCCCCGCCCCTGCAAGGCTCCAGCTCAGATGCATGAATTACCGTATTTTTTGCTCTATAAGACTCACTTTTTCCCTCCTAAAAAGTAAGGGGAAATGTGTGTGCGTCTTATGGAGCAAATGCAGGCTGCATGGCTATCCCAGAAGCCAGAACAGCAAGAGGGATTGCTGCTTTCACTGCGCAGCAATCCCTCTTGCTGTTCTGGCTTCTGAGATTCAGAATTTTTTTTTCTTGTTTTCCTCCTCCAAAAACTAGGTGAGTCTTGTGGTCTGGTGCGTCTTATAGAGCGAAAAATACGGTATATCTGCCACAAAAAGGCCTAACATCTCAGTGTACATAATACTGTTCAATAACAGCTCAATACTGAAACCAGGAAAGCTAAGCAGCACATAATTATCAGTTAAAGGACACTCAGTGGCCTTTTGAGACCACCCTACCTTGCCTGAGTCTACTTTTCACTTTTGTTTTACTGGAACCCTGATGGCTTCAAAAAGTATCAACTCTTGGTAAGACTTAAAATTAGGCTGCAACTGTAATTAACAAGTTTCCAAGCACAACCCTGCAAGAGGAGCCATATATAACCACATGGCCGGCTATACTGCTATGGGAAACTTAGGAGGTTTCGCTCTTCTCCCCCCAAAACTGCCACCCCAAGGGGAGGGGGCACAATAAACAACTATTTATTTTGCTTATATACACACACACATTTAAGTAGTGTCTCTAATATCTGCCATTAACGTAGAACAGAGAAGGCAAGTACAGGGTGGCGGCATCCAACATTTGGACCCAGAAATGTGGTTAATTTAGTAGCTAATGGTGCTTTTAAAATGTCAACAAAAAGAGACAGTGCTTTGCCTGTCCTCATAAGACACATTTTTCTTACCTTGCCACATATATCTGTTATGCATGTACTCAAGCCATATGCAGACCCTCCAAGTGTCCCTATTTTCCAGGGACAGTCCCAGATTTGCAGAAGCTGTCCCAGTTTCAGATTTGATCCCAGAATGTCCTAATCATAGAATTGTCGAGTTGGAAGAGACCATGAGGGTCATCTAGTCCAACCCCCTGCAATGCAGGAATCTTTTGCCCATTGTGGGTTTTGAACCCACGACCCTGAGATGAAGAGTCTCATGGTCTACCAGCTGAGCTATCCTTTAAAAGGTAAAGGGACCATTAGGTCCAGTTGTGGCCGACTCTGGGGTTGCGGCGCTCATCTCGCTTTATTGGCCGAGGGAGCCAGCGTACAGCTTCCGGGTCATGTGGCCAGCATGACTAAGCCGCTTCTGGCGAACCAGAGCAGCACACGGAAACGCCGTTTACCTTCCCACTGGAGCAGTACCTATTTATCTACTTGCACTTTGACGTGCTTTCGAACTGCTAGGTTGGCAGGAGCAGGGACCGAGCAACGGGAGCTCACCCCGTCGCGGGGATTCAAACCGCTGACCTTCTGATCGGCAAGTCCTAGGCTCTGTGGTTTAACCCACAGCGCCACCCGCATCCCAGAGCTATTCTTAGGACGTTCCTATTTTTCGTCGAAGAAATGTTGGTGAGTATGGAGTTATGTGACCCCTGAGGCAAGGAGATAAGTATCTATAGAACCTGAAGGCAGTCCTGTATAGGGAATACCCTCACAACAGATGCCAGGGAGATAAGTAACTATACAGTGGTACCTCGGGTTAAGTACTTAATTCGTTCTGGAGGTCCGTTCTTAACCTGAAACTGTTTTTAACCTGAGGTACCACTTTAGCTAATGGGGCCTCCCACTGCCGCAATGCCGCCACTGCATGATTTCTGTTCTCATCCTGAAGCAAAGTTCTTAACCCGAGGTAATATTTCTGGGTTAGCGGAGTCTGTAGCCTGAAGCGTATGTAACCTGAGGTACCACTGTACAACCTTTAGAAGACACCTGAAGGCAGCCTTGAATGGGGAAGCTTTTAAATGTTTAATGTTTTATAATGCTCTTATTATGTTGGAAGGCGCCCAATTGGCTGGGGCAACCCAGTCAGATGGGCGGGGGGATGATGATGATGATGATGATGATGATGAATGAATAGGATGTCCCTATTTTCATCAGAGAAATGTTGGAGGGTATGCATATGTACTAATAAGCGGCACATGAATACCAGATAAGAGGGAATCAGCTTAAGTTGGAAGGAACTGTTATTTAAGATTTTGTTTTCCTGATGTCTGTCTTTAATTTGTTCTCCAGTGATACAGAACTGCACATCCCATGACCTCTTAGCCTGACATTTGCCTTCCTGCTTCCTCAGCACATTCTTCCCTCGCTGCTCAAAGTGAGATCGGGCAGAAGTGGGCCAGAACCACACAAAGCACACCAGCAAAAGTTTTTTCTTTGCCCTCCAGCAAAATCGCAGCGGTAGTTAAGGTGGTCTCAGAGGCGGGGCTTGAGGCTTCCATGCGGAGCTTTGACATTGGATGCCAATACTTATTCGCTTGGTAGACGTCAGGATTTCATGGCCTCCTTGGCAAACACAGATTCCTGTTATCTCTTGGGGATTTTCCTAGTGATACATCTGCAGATGCTGTTGATACACTGGGGAGTGCCTAGAATGCAGAGATGGCTCAGGCTATTGCCATGATTATTCCTATACCAGGCATCCTCTCCTGTCGCACAGAACTAAACAATTTCAGCGGTTTTCTGAGAAGGCAAAAGCAACAAAAGGAGTGGGGTGATGGATAAAGAAGAAATCTCTCATTTCTTCCAAAAAGGACCAGACTGAGAATCTGAGTACAAGTAAATCTTAGAACAGAGTTGTTCCTCAGCTGCAACTCCCACCAACTCCTAGCTGAGGGAATTGGGAGCAGTTAGAAATTCAGAGGCATAAGCTACCGTATGCTCTATAAGACTCACTTTTTCCCTCCTAAAAAGTAAGGGGAAATGTGTGTGCGTCTTATGGAGCGAATGCAGGCTGCACAGCTATCACAGAAGCCAGAACAGCAAGAGGGATTGCTGCTTTCACTGCGCAGCGATCCCTCTTGCTGTTCTGGCTTCTGAGATTCAGAATATTTTTTTTCTTGTTTTCCTCCTCAAAACCTAGGTGCGTCTTGTGGTCTGGTGCGTCTTATAGAGCCAAAAATACGGGAATTGCCAAATGGCACCTTAATCCTAGGCTACAGTAGCGACAATGGAAGGTCTAGACACCTTTTTTTGCCATGGAATTTATCATCATCGTCATCATCATCATTTCTATACAGCTTCATTTTTAAAGAAAAAACCCTCAACACATCAAAACATCAAACAATTAATTTATATAGCTGCCCCCATAGCAGAAGTACTCTAGGAAGTCAGTGTGGTGTAGTGGTAGAGTGTTGGACTAGGACCTGGGAGATCAGGGTTCAAATCCCCACTCAGTCATGAAGCTCAAGTGATCTCAGGCCAGTCACAGCCTCTTAGCCTATCTCACAGGGTCGTTGTAGGGATTAACTGAGGAGGAGGGTGAACCATGTGCCCCTTGTTGAAAAAGCAGGGATATATATGCAAAGCCCTATTCTCAATTTGGAATTACATATACCCAATCTCAATTTGCAAGGTTTCGGTTTGCAGAGATCAGAACATTTACCGTACTTTTCGCACCATAACACTCAGTTTTTTCCCCCTAAAAGGTAAAGGGAAATGTGTCTGCGCGTTATGGAGCAAATGCAGGCAGGAGGAGCCGCTCTTGCTGGCTGTTCGGCAGCCTCTCTTCCTCCGCTTGGCTTGCTGAGAAGCCGGCAATAGCTGAGCAACAGCTGAGTGTCCGGAGACAGCCTCTCCTCCTCCTGTCTGCCTGCTCTATGGCTTTTTGGCGAGGTGGGAGAAGGGAGGCAGCTCGGAAGCCGGCAAGAGCTGCGCGCAGTGTGTAAAAGCCAAGGTGGGGAAAGGGAGACAGCCTCTCTTTCTCAGTGTCTGCCTGCTCTATGGCTCTCCCTTACACAAATGTAAGCGGCTCTTACTCTGCTTTCTTTACAATGAGCTGGAAGGAGGGACAAAGAGGGCATCCCCTTCCGTCCCTCCCCCAGCACCTCACCGGTAAATTCAAACAAAGCGGCTTACAAGGCTCGTGTCCCTGAGTCTCCTCCTCCTCTTTTTGCTCTGGTTCGAGGCAAGGCAGCTGCACAAATGTGAGTTCCCCCTCTCTCCTCCCTCCCTCCCTCCCTCCCTCTTCCAACTTCAAAAAATATTGGGGGGACAGCCAGGTAAGCCCCACTCACATACCACAATGGGGGTGGGGGATGACTCCCTCAAATATTTAATGGGGAGGGGGTGAAGTCACCTAGGCCCATAGGAGTTGGCTGCTTTGCCTAGGACTAATGTGAGCTCTCCATCTCTCTTCCCTCCCTCCCTCTTCCAACTTCTATAAAATATTGGGGGGGGGGGCAGGTACAGGTAAGCCCCATCTCACAGACTGCAATGATCTCAAGACAAAGTGCATGCACACTGGTACCTTATATGAATGGCAATGCCCATCAGCATGGGGGGAGGATGACTCCCTCAAATATTTAATGGGGGGTGAAGGCACCTAGGCCTATAGGAGTTGGCTGCTTTGCCTAGGACAAGTGTGAGCTCCCCCCCTCCTCTTCCTTCATCACTGTATTGGAGATACCATACATTACTGAGTTCCTTCATTCACGTGGTTACAAAGCACGGATCCACATGGATCCTCAGGACTTTTGCACTGGGTCACCCCAAATTCACCATCAGATCACATAGCATGTCCATGGCTACAGCTTGCCCCCCAAAAAATCATGCACCCACTGTTGCCTGGGGCCGCAGTGGTGCAAAAACGTGGTTACAAAGCACGGATCCACATAGATCCTCAGGATTTTTGCATTGGGCTACCCCAAACTCACCGTCAGATCACATGTCTGTGGCCACAGCATGAACCACAAAAATCATACATCCACTGTTTCGTTTAGAATATTTTTTTTCTTGTTTTCCTCCTCTAAAAACTATGTTCGTGTTATGGTTGGGAGCGTGTTATAGAGCGAAAAATACGATAATCATGGAACTTTCTTGATACAGAGCAAGGGCAAAAGTGAGGTGACAGGAAGTTTTTTATAAATAGAAGGCGCAACTAAAATTGTGACAGGAAGAAGGAAAAGAAGGGAGTGATGAAGGACAGAGGGCCCACATCCCTGGCCAAAGGAAGAAATGCACTTTGACCCAATTAACATTACAAAACAAACTAAGTTAGGAATCTCCATTTGTAAACCGCGGCTTAGCACAAATAACAAAACTGAAGATTGTGGTTGCAGCCCTTCTTCCCCAATCCTGCTGATGACATGCCTCCCAGGGCTAAGTCACGGTCTGGCTTTGCATTTGACCTCCAAAGTTGGGCTCATAGTTTGTCTCATTCCTGATAAGCCACGAGTTTCAACCAAGATTTGTTCTTGGCTCCCAGCACATGATTCGTGGAGATTCAGAGGTAGTGCTAAGCCAGACCACAGCTTAGCCAGAATTAGCATGGCAACAGCAGGAGGACCAGGGGAGGAACGTGGAGGCTTGACTTAACATTACATGCGACATGTCTACCATTTCAGCAAGCAGGTAGTCCTAACCCAGCTTGCCTTGTAAGGTTAACCTTTCAACTTTTCCATGTCCATCCATTCATTTGCAAATACTCCTCCAGCCACTTCCTCTCCCTCCCTGCCTCCCAGTCAGGTCTAGTTACTGAAGGCACGAAGAGTAGGAGAGAGCGCAAAACACAGGTCTCCTATTTTCAGTGGCCACCAGGCATCTGCTGTGTCATCTAATTCTGGCCTAAGATATAACTAGAAAGCAATGTCATCTGTAAGACCAACTTCCATCACAATCAGTGAATAAAATATCCAGATTTCTTCCCTTGGAACAAAAAATTCTGTGAATAAACTTAGAGCTAATCAAAGGCACGATGGATCAAACACATTCTGTGACTTGCAGGAAACAGCTGTTCCCATCTATAAACTGCATTTCTTGAAGAAGAAGAAGAACCTGAAACTTTTTACATACTTACATGTGAGGTCTGAGTTCATAGAAGTTTCTGTTTCTGTATTCTTCCACTTTTTCTGGGGAATAAATAGGGAGCAATCTGTATGGATTTATCGATATCACCACACTACCGATGTAAGTCTGCCGAAAAGAAAGAATGCAGAGTGGAGTTTTAACAGCTGATGTGACAA